CAAAGTAACAATCAGCACAAAGAGGATCAACACAAAGAGGGTTAGCACAAGGACTGCACAATGTTGGTGGGCCCAAATGATGGACAGGATTACGGGCCAGAGTCTAGCTCCACTGGCTCCTATGAGCTCCTGCGATATAGCAGCCCCCTCAGCAGAGGCCTGCGGGCAGAAACTCAGTTGCCAGACTGGGACCACGGTGAAAGGGGTCCTGCCAGTGGGAGCAGCAGTAGTGCTGAGTCAGCAGCCGCGTCCTGTGCGGCCAGGTGGAAAGGCTGCACAGCCGCGGCCTAGCTCCGGCAGCGCTTAATGGCGCCGCCAGCTCACCTCGGAGCCTTTCGCTTCGCAGCCTCACCGCTTCGCCCCGGAGGGGGGCGAAACCAGCCGCTCAGATGGTCCCGGCGATGGAGTCAGCCTCTGCAGTGGCGGCGGCGGCCCAACGGGATCCTGGCCTCTGTGCCGGCGGGGGGGGGGGGGGGGGGGGCGGCGGGCTCGCCTGGGCGGTCTCCGCCGCGATGGTTTAGCCTCCTCAGCCTCCTTGGGGCGACTGCCCTCGGCGTTCGGCCTCTCCTTCGGCCTGGCAGCAGCCGCGGCGAAGGTTTGGCCTCCTCGGCCCCTCGGCCCCCTCGGCGGCCTCGGCGTCCCCTTTCGGAACCTCCCTTTTCGGAGGCAGCCCGGCGGCGACCGCGGTCCGGCCTAGGGCGGCCCCAGCTGGTCCCAGCGATAGTCTCCTCCCCAGCAGCGCCGGCGGAGGCCAGGCAGCGGCGATGACGGCCCGACCGACCCGCCAAGCCAGCCAAGCCCAAGGTCCCGGCGACAAAACGATGGCACGGGACGACACCCGGCTAGCAGCCGGTCGGCGGCGGTCGGCGGCTGCAAGGTAGGCCGCGATACAATGGCGGCGGCGTTGTTCTTTCTCCTCTCCGCCTTTCCTCCTCTTCTCTAGGTCTTCCTGGCTCTTTCCTGGCTCTCCACCCCTCTCTCGGGAGCCAGAGGCTTGGGGTTCCTCTCTCCCCTTAATTTGAGGGTGGTAGGTGAGGGGGAGGCTCAGGATTCCCCCAGATTGAAAGTTTGCTGAGCAGCGCAGCGTTTTTTGCTGCCAGCCACCATGCCGGAACCGGAAGCCATGTTTTACGACAGTTGTCACCACAGGTTATTGGGTGCTGTTTTGAGTCTAAATTATTGTTTTATACACTATTTGTTTTCTTTTGTATTGTACTGTTGTTTATTTTATGTGTTGTTTTAGACACATTGTGGCATATGTAAGTCGCCCCGAGTTCCTTCAGGGAGATGGAGGTGGGGTACAAAAATAAAGTTTGTTGTTGTTGTTGTTGTTGTGTATTTGTTCAGTCACTTCTGACTCTTCGGGACCTCATGGACCAGCCCATGTCAGAGCTCCCTGTCAGCCGTCACCACCCCCAGCTCCTTCAAGGTCAAGCCAATCATTGTCTTAATAGAAGCTTTCTATTAATGAGAAGCTTTCCTGACTTCTCATTATGTGGTCAAAGTACTTCATCTTTGCCTCTAATACCCTTCCCTCCAATGAGCAGTTGGGCTTTATTTCCTGAAGTATGGACTGGTTGGAGTTTGGCCTGCATTTAAAGTTACAACTAGATTCGTGTATTTTCATGTACACACAGAAAAACCAAATATTATCAGATGTTACTTACATATCAATGCGATCAGAAGTTAGGCCCAGGAAAGAATTTCTTTCAATTTTCCGCACATTTATGTTGTCTTGGATATCTCTGAGATTTAAAATATATATATATATTAAAATTTTCTTTTTGAAGTGCATTTTGGCATGCAGGATATTAAGACAATATCAAATTATAACACAGTATCAGTGTAATCAGTCAAAGAAGTAGCCATACATGGCATTCAGAATTTTTTTTAAAAAAAACAACCCATGTTAGCTACTGGAGGCCAAGAAGAAACAATATTTCATCAACTTCATAAATCTAACAAAATTCAGATGTCTGCTTCTATAACCAGGAGAGACCACAGATAAACCTTCATTAACAGTGACTGATATATGTTGAAAGTCCATAAAGTTTGGTTTTTGCTCTAATGCTTTCTGAGCTAATGGATCTGAGCAGTATTGAAATATTTATTTGAAAATTTGCTCAATCTTGTTCCTGACCATAAACTTTATTTGTTTCTAAGGAATTGTCCAAGCCCCAAATTCCAAAGATGTGCCTTCTTGTAAAATCATTTTGCTGACTTTAACTCAAGAGTACTTTACAACTTCAGAATGAGTTCTAAAAGCCCATTTCTTAAACTCAATTCGCCTTTTGCTTTTGAAGTCATAGAATCATAGAATCATAGAATCAAAGAGTTGGGAGAGGCCTCATGGGCCATCCAGTCCAACCCCCTGCCAAGAAGCAGGAATATTGCATTCAAATCACCCCTGACAGATGGCCATCCAGCCTCTGTTTAAAAGCTTCCAAAGAAGGAGCCTCCACCACACTCCGGGGCAGATTATTATTCTTCAGATTTCATGATTATTCCCACATTCTAAAACTCAAATTCTAAAACCCCATTGACTATACATTTACCATGGCAATGTTTAAAAGTACATTTTAGATTGGAGATTTTAGGGCTCTATTCTGTTCCCATCACAAAAATCCTACATTTGTTACAGTTCCAGCATGAGTGAGTTTGGTTTTTAATTTTTTTTCCTCTTTCTCTTTTGCTTTCTCTTCCTCACAGACATCCCCTCCATAAAGAAAATGTGTTAACTCCCCATAATATCAGAAGAATCCAATAATAACTTACAGCACAACTTTCTGTAAAGAGTGTACCTGGTTAACAGCAGGCAAAAACCTGATGGCAGTGTTGGAGATCAGCCTTGAAAAAGAGAAAGGAAATAAATATAATGATGGTTTAGAGAAACACAAAGGAACATAAAATACCAGAACAGAAGGAGTCCGGAAATTTTGTAACAATGCAGTATATTATCATTGTTATTGTTGGCATCATGAATTAATCGCTGAACCTGGAACCCCAGGTCTCGGTGGTGGCCAGGGGAGCTTTTGCACAATTAAAACTTGTGCGCCAGTTTATTTATTTACTGTATTTGTATCCTGCCTTTCTCTACCTTGAAGGGAACTCAAGGAGGCTTTATATATAGCAACTATTTGATATTTTGGACAACAAACAATTAGAATACAGTTGTGCCTGGACCTTGGGAAGTCAGACTTGGCCGCAGTAGTCCACACTCTTGTTTGGAAGTTTCAAGTAGTCCAATGGGTGGCAGCCAGATTTCTCACCGGAGCATCGTAGAGGGAGCACACACAATCCCCCTCTTACATCAGCTCCACTGGCTGCCAGTCTGCTACCAAGGACAATTCAAAGTGCTGACTTTAGCCTATAAAGCCCTAAATGATTCTGGTCCAGGTTACCTGTCCGAAAGTATCTCCCTGTGGAACTCCCCCTCTAGTGAAATGAGATTAGCCCTCTCCCTCCTGACCTTCAGGGAAAAAAAAACTAAAAAACTAAAAACGTTGATGTGGGACTAAGCTTTCAGATTGTAATCTTTCAGTCCAATATGTGAATGCGGAATGGTAAATGCAAGATGTATAGAGGAGAAAAACCATGGCATTAGAAGGAAATCATCATCTTCAAAAACATGCTATACATACTTGTCTAGTAGTTTGATTCTAATAATATTGCAATTCAAATGGTTAAATCAGTTTAGAACCTGAGGAAGAAATTGGCTATAGCACTTACTTTGACTTTTGAATTGGTTTAATATTGATTATGTGCAGATATGTGCGCCTGGATAGGCATAACAAAATGAGAACTTGGTAGAACTATGGCCAACGGTCCATTTTTTGAAGGACTGAGAAAAAGTGGGACTAATGAAAAAAATATCAAAACATATTGTGGTTATGCCTTTACACACACAAAAGAATGAGATCTGTCTTAAACATTTATATTAACTTATCTATAGATCATTCTGTGCCAATAAATGCCACCTCCCATTTCTCCGTGAGTTCTCATTACCAATCCTATTCACTAGGGATGTACCATGGATGCAATTCCAAAGGACTTCTTTTGACAGGACATGGAAGAAGCATCAGGTATTCATGTTTAAATTATTACATCGAAGCAATCCATCAGCCATTCATGTGGGCATTGTGACTGACATTCGGATAAATGGAACAGCCATTTCTATTCCAAACAGAGCTCTCAAATAAGGCCTCTAAAATATAAGTATCAAAATGTTCTGCACAGTTTCAGTTTTGCCGTTCAGATTCTAATAAGGGTTCATTATCTGTCTCATTTTTGTAGCCTCTGAGCATTTGCTTTACAGCAAAAAGAGCCTGTGAAGGAGGGTTTTAAAATTGTCATGCCAGCAAGATATGAAAGTTGATGAGTTTCTGCAATTATTATGTCACAAAAGAAAGAGTGATAACACTCCCATTTCATTTGGGATGGTGGAATCTGGTTTATTGTACAGATTGTTGGAGGGCAGCCTTCTCCTGTTGCAGGATGAGATGCCACTTTCAGGTGGGAAAGCTTCTTGTATTTTCTAGAAAATATTTTTTAGCATATGGTCACAAGGAGCCCCCAGTGGCACAGAGGGCTAAAGGGCTAAGCTGCTGAACTTGCTGACCAAAAGGTCGCAGGTTTGAATCCGGGGAGCGGCATGAGCTCCCACTGTTAGCACCAGCTTCTGTCAACCTAGTAGTTTGAAAACATGCAACTGTGAGTAGATCAATAGGTACCATTCTGGAGGGAAGGTAATGGTGCTCCATGCAGTCATGCTGGCCACATGACCTTGGAGGAGTCTAAGGACAATGCTGGCTCTTTGGCTTAGAAATGGAGATGAGCACCAACCCCCAGAGTCCCACATGACTGCACTTAATGTCTGGGGAAAACCTTTACATATATGGTCACAAGGTACTCTGTTCTGCTTGCAGTGCCAAATATTGGGGTAGTTCCCTCATATATCCAAAGAACTTTTGTGAAATCTGAGAGATAGTATTGGATCACTCAAGCAGAGCAATCAAATTAGTAAGGCAGAAGCTGAAAAGGAACTGTCCTATTGCCACAGTCAGAGGATCCAGCATAGAAAAATAAATAAAATGAGTATTCTTTGTAAAACATGTAAAAGTAATTGTGCTTTTAACATGGTTTCAATCAGATGGTACTTGTGGATTCTTCAAACTCTATGATTCCACACAGTTATATTCTGATATTGTTTTAGTTGTGCATTCTTGCATGGCAGAGTATTTGACAAGGGAGAGGTGGGCAACACATAAATAAAAATAATAATAATTAATTGGGTTTTGAGTTGTAAATTTTAATCTGCATTTCAAAAGACTCCAAAAGCGCACTTCTTCCTCTTCCTTTGAGAAAGAAGCCAAAGTGACCAGACTGCTCTCATACAAATCTGCCACTCTCCATACTACACTATCTCTCTCCTTCCCATGGAGCAGAGCATAGCGGGTGGAACAGACTCCTCAGGTCTGCCACACTTTGAGCATTATTAGTCTTTTATAGGAATATTATGCTGATGTAGTCCCAAAGTTGTAAATTAATGATACAGGTCTTCCATCCTGGCTCCATCTCAGTTTCCTGGCCAGATGTTGATTCTTCTTGATTGGTGTTGACAAACACAAGGCCTGTATTGACTTCCTTCTTAACATAAGGGATGTTGCAAACATTTCCTTAACTTGAAAGAACCGTTGTTACAGTCTTTATCAGAGTTTACTTTTCAGGTCTTATTAATCACAGTCTAGCAAGCAGTTAGTTAGTCATTACAGGCCTTAATATTATACTGGTGTCTCCAAAATTATTAGCTCCATCCATACATTCACCTTCCATTCATTCCCATATTAAATTCACATTTCTCAAATCTGCAGTAATATTTTCATGACAACCATCCCCAGGTTGACAACCATCCTTGATAGCAAGCACCTCTGTTTTGTCTGGATTCAGTTTGTATTTATTTTTCCTCATCCAGCTCACTACCTCCTCCAGGCATTCATTCAGAGGAGACATGTTATCCTTATCGAAAGCTGTTTTTGAAGGCAAGAAGAAATATATTTGGGTGTTTTCAGTGTATTGATAGCACCCCATCCCATGCCTCTCCCAGCAATTTCATGTAAATGTTAAAAAGCATTCTATTCCTCTAACCCTTAAAACTAGAATGGGGGCTATTTTTAGATGAGTTGTGTGCCTCATTATACTCTCTGTGGGTTTTAGATTATGTTTGTGGACCTGGGAAAGACTGTGATACTAGAATTCCAGAGCAGAACATGGAAAAGTTACTTTTATGGACTTTTTTTTCATGTCAGGAGCGACTTGAGAAACTGAAAGTTGCTTCTGGTGTGAGAGAATTGGCTGTCTGCAAGGACATTGCCCAGAGGATGCCTGGATGTTTTGATGTTTTACAATCCTTGTGTACCTGCATTGGGAGTTGGAATTGACAGAGGGAGCTCACCTGTGCTCTCCCTGGATTCGAACCTCCAACCTGTCGGTCTTCAGTCCTGCTGACACAAGTGTTAAATCCACTGAGACACTGGGGGCTCTTTTATGGACTAAAATTCTGGGAATTCCCTAGCCAAAGAGTCCAGTGGTTTGCTCTCAAAAAGAAGCAAAGATATAAAGCCAACCAGAAAATGCTGCTGTTTACTTTCTCTCTCTAATGAGGCTTGTATCTGCTGAAAAGGGCAAACAAGTTACCAGATTGTCCATTTGGCTGGCACTGAAGAGCTGCAATTAACAATTTTGTCTTCGGTTTGAAAAATCTTTGGATGCAAGCCGAGGGTGTACTTTCATTTTTTTTAAAAGAAACTCTAGCAAACTTAATCAGACTCTAATCATGTTTATTTATTTTTATAACTCAGCAAAGGATACACAAAGTAGTCACTGGCCAGCTTTGAATGCTTAATTAATCAACACAGAAGCTATATTAATTAGGCCTTTAAAGTTAAGTGAACGGTTTGAAAATTAACATGTGTAGCAATTCCTTCTCTGCTCCTGAGTTTAAACAGATGTTAACAGAAGAACAACCAGGCTCAAAGCCAGATCCTTTTTCTCTGCATTAAATCCATGAAATTCAATGGGATTAATTCTCAATGTAATATTTCTGCAGCAGGTATAAATCCCACTGAATTCCATGGAAATAGTTTCAATTTCCTATGTAATATTGGCAGTGACAAAATACTGTAAAAGCACCAAATGGCATCTGATTCTGGAAGCTAAGCAAGGTTAGATTCCATGTTTAGTGCTTGACTGAAGTACCACCAGTGAATACCAGGTTCTAAAGGTTATATTTTAGGGGAAGGAATTGATACAACTCCCTCTGAGTAGTTCTTTATGGAATTCATGGGGCTAGCACAAGTTGATAGGTGACTAGAAGGGGCACATACGTACACATACACACATACACAATAGGTCAGTGGTTCTCAACCTTCCTAATGCCACAATCCCTTAATACAGTTGTGGGGTCCCCCAAGCATAACATTATTTTCATTGCTACTTCATAACTGTAATTATGATACTGTTATGAATCGTAATGTAAATATTTGATATGCAGGACGTATTTTCATTCACTGGACCAAATTTGCCACAAATACCCAATACACCCAAATTTGAATACTGGTGGGGTTGCAGGGGAGGTGGGTGGGTTGATTTTGTCATTTGGGAGTTGTACTTGCTGGGATTTATAGTTAAAACTACAATCAAAGAGCATTCTGAACTCCACCAACAATGGAATTGAATCAAACTTGGCACACAGAATTCCCATGCCCAACAGAAAACCTTGAGTTTTGGAGTTGTAGTTCACCTAGAGAGCACTTTGGACTCAAACAATGATGGATGTGGACCAAACTTGG